TCTCTCTCTCTCTCTCTACTCTGCGATTGGTGGGGTTGTGGGTTGGTTGCACCCCGAAACCAAGGCCCTGCATATAACTATCGAGGTTGCTATCTATCTCTCGTATATATATATATATATATATATAAATATATCCGTATATTCGAGGCTGGGGGTTCCGCAGCATATATATATATATATATTAATATTAATATTAATATTATAATGGCTATAATAGGAGGTTAGCTGAACAGGTTTATAAACCCTCTACAAACCCTATAAACCCTATACCCCCCCCCAAACCCTACAGGTTATAAACCCTATCTGTATAGGCGCTATACAAACCACGGCTTTTACAAGGGTTATACGGGTTTTGGGTGAGGTTGGCGATTCAGGTTTACAAACCCTATAAACCGTATAAACCCTACACCCCCCTAAACCCTATAACCCTATAAACCATATACAAACCATAAACCTATTATTGTAAGACCCTATATACACCCGCGGCGTATAAGGGGTTATAAGGGGTTTCGGCTGAGGTTTGGGATTCAGGTATACAAACCCTATATTCCTTACACCCTCCTATATAAACCCTACAAACCCTAAACCTGTTATAAGCCCTATAAACCCTGTATCAACCCACGGCCTATAAGGGGTTACAAGGGTTGTGGGTGAGGTTTGGGACTGGCGAGGGCACCTTGGGCACACGACCAGCGTAAAGCCGCTGAACCAAGGCTTTCGGCTCCCAAGCCAACTCTCTCCGTCCATGCTCCATGGCAGCTGACAGTATTTGTTGTGGGCTGTATGCTGATACGGGGGACATCTTGTATGCTGATACAGGTGCATATTGTACTCGACAGTCTGCACGGTTGCACTAGTGCTCTTCCAGCATATGCATCGATCTGTTTATTCCTATCTCGAGGCCTGCAGCACACAACCCCAAGAGTTGTGTTTCGTATCGAATTTCGGATGTCCTATCACTCTAGAGTAAATACAACTCCGGTGAGCTTAAAGGGCATGTACATAGCAAGAATTTCCCGAGACGGCTCTTAAATCGAAGCCTGTTACAAAGCCTACTGACCCCTCATCAACTAAATCCCTCAACCCGTACGGTACCGAAATGTCACAAAAAACCCTCTGCAGCAGTCCTGCGAGCTCGGCATAAGCCTTGCGCAGTCCTTTCGTGCTCAACGGCATCACGACCTCAGGTGCAGCCGACATCATTGCTTCTTCATTTCATGGGAGGCCGATGGGGGTCTGGAGTTTTAAGGCTTGCTGGTTCTATAGCGTTGAGTAGTTTTAGTGCGACAGGCTTTCGCAAAGGGCAATAGCAGGGGCAGCAGCAGCAGCAGAATTCTACGAGTAGCAAAGAAGCTATAGCAGTAGAGTACTTGTGGTGGTCATCGTCCTCCGACTAGCAGTCGTAGCAGCTGCAGCAGCATCAGCAGCAGCAGGAGAGCAGTAGTGGTGGTGGTTGTGTAGTCGGAGTAGTAATAGTTCTGGTAGCATTCGTCCTAGTAGTACTACATGTAGTAGCAGTACACATCTGTAGTATGCATGAAGACTACAGCGACAAGCATTTGCAGCACCAGGTGCGGCACCACTAGGACCTGTGAAAAAATACCTCAGAAAAAAACTTCTCAGTGTGAAGGCCCCTAAGCCCGAACCCTATAAAGGCTACGAAGCCCTATCAGCCCATATAGAGCTTGGGTTTAGGGTTTATAGGGTTTGGGGTTTGGGGTTTGCTACTACTAGGAGGACGAGTATTACCCAGAAGATTGCACACACTGCAAGAATAGTGCCTGCTATACGTGTACGAAACTACATGGCTACAAATCCACTCAACCATAGACCTGATCTGTATAGGCCCCTAGCCCGAGGAACCCTGGCACCTTTCATCGGAACATGCAGCAAGTGTGGCTTCAAACTCAGGTCTATTGCACCCAACCTGAAAGACCCATCTTGGCAAGCTCTGCTATAGACCCACCATAGCTTGTGGCAGAAGCTCGTCCTCCTCGTCGTCGCACTCATTAGTAGTAGCAGTTGCATAATGGTAATATAGATTGAAATGCATTTGGGGTTTGAAGCTTCGGGCAGGTCTAGGGGTGAAACCCTATATCAACCCAGCCCTAGAATCCTATAACCCTAACCTCCGAAAACCCTACCCTAGAATCGCTGTACACCCGACCGAAGTCCTATAGAGCCTTAATTAGGACTCGCAGATGGCAGGAGTCCCCGATACAGTGACATGGGAGGGTCTACTTTCCCTTACCCAAATCCTAGAGGTTTACAATAACTCTTGCTGCAAGTGGAGTGCACTTGTCTTCAGACTCAACTCTAAAGGCAATGTACCCCTATTCTGCAAACCGAAACAGTCCGAATAGATTCAATTCAGCTCTTTCCCCTGCGATCGCCTCGCAACAGAGTCCCCGATAATCCGCTAGTGAGAAGCTTCTCAAGCACATCACGAAGTGACATGTTCCACCCAGGGCCTTTCAAAAGTAGGCCAGCACTTGCACAAGCCCAGCATATATATATATATATTATATACATATGCGTTGAAGTACATCTTCAGCGGACTGTAGGCTCAATGTTCACTTGGGCTGCAGCAAGTATGATCAGTATGATCCCTGCCCAAAACCCGAAGGGCTTTCAGCCTTCGTCTCATTCGGTTTGCAGGAGACGTCGTCGAAGCTCCTTAACCTGGGATCAGTGTCGGGCCGGACAAAAAAGATCCGGCAAGAGTTGATCTTGCTACTGGTGGTTTATGTGTAGGGTTCACAGGGCTTATATAGGGCCTAGCTTGTTGCAGGGCTGTTATAATGCTTTATAGGTTTGACGCTATTCGGCATTGCATTCTACTGTTTCATATGGTGCATGGGTCTGGGGTGCGTAGTGGTGGTCGTCGTCGTAATAGCAGTAGCAGCAGCAGTAGCAGTAGCAGTACCAG